TGTCAACATGGTATCATTTCAATACAGTAAAATTTCCCATTAAATCATTAAGGAAAACTGTGAGCATCAGATTTGGTGGGCAGGCTCAAATTTCTAACTTTAGGTTACTCAATTCCATCGTCGGTTCCAAAAATGTTTTGATTTTTCTAGCTTGGTTGCAGATAGTCGCCAATGATCTCTTTTTGAAAAAGTCAAAAAAATTTTATAATTGAATGAATATATAGAATATAGGAATAAGGTTCAAATTGGCCACTGAACGTAACTTGAAAATGCAATTAGGCCACTGAACGAAAAAAAAGTGCAATTAGGCCACTGAACACTCCAAAAATATGCAATTTCACCTGATAGCAGGTTACCCTCAATTTTAGCAGGTTATCTGCTTACGTGGCAGCTGAGTTGGCATTTTTAATAAATTTTAAATTATTTTTAATAAATTTTAATAATAAATTTTTATTTAAAAATTTTTTTTAAAAATACAAAACGACTTTATTTTATTTTTTATTTAATTTTTTTTTCAATTTTTTATAAAATTTATTATTAAAATTAATTATTAAAAATTATTTAAAATTTATTAAAAATGCCAACTCAGCTGCCACGTAAGCAGGTAACCTGCTAAAATTGATGGTAACCTGCTATCCAGTGAAATTGCATACGTTTTGAGAGTTCAGTGGCCTAATTGCACGTTTTTGGAGTGTTCAGTGGCCTAATTGCACTTTTTGTTCGTTCAGTGGCCTAATTGCACGTTTTTGGAGTGTTTAGTGGCCTAATTGCACTTTTTGTTCGTTCAGTGGCCTTATTGCATTTTCAGGTTATGTTCAGTGGTCAATTTGAACCTTATTCCTAGAATATAATTCTTGTACCATAAAATTATAAATTTAATTTTTTTAAATATCATCTTGACCAAATTTAGCATACAAAATCTTCATAATATAATTTATTTGGTTGTATAATTTGTTAACTATTAAAAAATTTAAAACTTCTAAAGAAAATTTTAATAATTATAAACATCACACGTTTTTGTTTAGATCCTGTCCCACGTTAATCGACCCAAGTTTTTGTTCAAGAATCCTTCCAACCTCGTCAGTACATATTGGAAATTAAAGATTTGTTTCTTTGAACTTTTGGTCCTCACCTAGCTTTTGATTAAATACATATATAATATATCAACCTCCTTTTTTTGTTGTTGGGTTGTTGGCAAATTCAATGCTAGTTGGCTTGCTTCTCCTACCCCCCACCCTCTCCACCTCCCCCACCCACCCATACGATATATATATATATATATATATATATATATATATCTTTTTTTCACTGATAATATCCCTTACAACTATGTGTTATTATGTCTGATGTATCAAATAATACTATCGACATTGTTACTAATAGTACTTAAAATAATCAACAATATACACCGGCCACATGATTGTACTGAATATGATAGAAAAAATTTATAAATAAACATATTGTTAGTGTTAATTAATTTAGTAATCTCAACATAAATTACTGGACTTCCGTATGAAGCCGTCAATCAAATAAGAGAATGTATGTTCGATCAATTTGGCAAAATGTTAATCCCTTTTATTTAATGAGTGGCGTGCTTAGAACGGTTTTGTATAGTTGTAGTCTCACAAACGTCTGTCAACCAGAATATACTAAGGTTACAACAATTTTTCCTCCAAAGGGCAATACTCTTAGTGACCACCTAACAAGTCCTTCTCAAGATCTGTCACTCTCAACTGCACAGCATGTCACGTGCACTAATACTAGTAGGAAATGAAAACTTTATGATCTTACACTTGTATAATAGACAATGTCACGTTTAAATGATAGGATACTAAATTCACCTTTCAAGCCCCGCTACAACACAACAAAAACAATGTAGATATTATAGGACCCTCATAAGACTAGTGTTATGCGTTTACAACTAGGATATGCTAACTGCCTTTCCACTACCACCGTCTTTATTCTGCATCTTGACCCTTCCTCAATTCTTATTCCTCTCTGGCCACCCACCCATATATATATATATATATATATATAAACCCTCTCTCTTTACATCCTATGGATCCATCTCTCTACACCATTTGTTAGTGCCAGGCCAGGCCAGCAGCAAAAATATATTTATGTAAGGTTTATGCAAGATATTGGTCCGGATCAATCATAAAAACTTATTTCTCCATCTTTCTTATTATCACACTTATATATATATATATATATATATATATGTAAGTTTTTTATTTGATTGAGCCGTGCCAATATCATGCATATAACTCTTACCATCACAAATCTTCATCTCCAGTATTGAAGGATGCATTCAGGTATTATTCATTCTAAGCTCACATATATTATTCCAATTTTTAAAATTTATTTATTTGCATTTTATTTATATTACTTTCGATATAATTTGAAGGATTCGATTATGGCCGCCATGTTTACATGCAGGTTTGAGCAGCCTGCAGCTAGACGATAAGCCTGCAGACTGCAGTTGAATATTTCTTAATGTATGACAGCTCATCCTTAAATTAAATTAAGGTGCACGACCTATCGTCTATAATTCTATATTAATATAGAAAATAGGTAAGGATAAAACGTTTGTTTTCAAATACTAAATCTTTAAGGTTTAATCTATGAAACGCATTGCCGTTCTTTAATTAATTTTCAATTATCATTTCTTTTCCAATAATAATTTTGTTTGGGGGAGGTTCGGAGGGTCGAGTCCTGCATCTTCTGTTAGAAACGTGACTCTGACTGTTATGCAAGTATAAAGAAATAAAGTTGTGCATTCGATATTAGATATAACTTTTGATGTAGTGGTGAACATTTGATCTTGACAATTAATTAGATAAATTTGAATCTCATGGCAGGTCCTATATATTACTCCATATATATTTTATTGTTGTTGTGCATGATTAATGTTGTCATAGTTATATTGTTGTAGTTTAGAATGGAAAAGGGGGCATTGATTTCAAGTGGGGATTTAAGAAATTAAAGTATATATGTTGTTGGGTAATGGTGGTGGAAAATATAATTTAGACTTTGGGCAAAGTATTCTATCACCTATTGTTGCTTGTTGGAATTAAAGATTTATCTATTCATAGTGCTTTTTGACAAAGAGGCATGATTAGGTAAAATTTATACATTGAGAAATAAAAATTTTCTTCTTATTTAACGCTTAAATGATGATTGATTATACTGTTAAGTCAATTAACTGAGATTTGAAGGTTCTTCACCATCCTCATTTAATTTAATGTTGCAACAAGTCCTTGTAAAAGGTCAAATAATTGGACTCTCCCGAGCTAGGATAGTTCTTAAGGTGACGTGTAAATATTGCTTCTTTCTGGATTTCTCCTTCTTTCATGAGAAAGAAAAGATAAGAATGGAGACAATAATATTTGCTTTGCTACAAATGGTGAGTTATTTTCAAGTACCATGAATAAAGGTGCACCATATATGCTTGTGGCGATAGTGCCTTTTGGGGAAATAATGTCATGTGATATAGTACGGTGATGCTTGTTGACATTAGCCATTGTTCCATTGAGCTTTTGTACAATTTTGTGTAAATGCAAGGGGCCCAGGAGAGCAAAAGAGTCAAGTTAAATTAATGTAATATTTGTTTATACTTACTTTTTCAACTTACTGAAACACAACAAGTCAATACTGCTCGAACCCATAATATTTTATTTGGGAGAATCACTTCGTGTCACTAGACCACAAAGTTATTGACTACCTTATCAAAGTTTAATTGATTTGAGTTTTATCAAATTAGAACTTGAGTCAAGTTCAAACAATCAAACATATTCGTTAAATAATTGAGTTGAGTTTGAGTTTAAAACCTTTTTTTTTTTTTTTGAAAGAGAGCTTAAAAATTATTAACTTGTAACTTAATTGAAGTTCAAATTAAACTTGAAAGTTTAAGGTCAAATCGACTAAAAGTTTGAACTTTATAAAAATAACAAGTAAATCTTGAGTGTAAATTATTAAATTCAATCAAACCCCAAACACTATAACTACTTTGAGCTACATCGAATTTGAGTCTAATAAGCTTGAGATTGACTTGATTGGTATGCACAGCCCCCAAGGCCCAAGCAACCCACAAAAGTTTGAAAAAGGGTTTGAAATCCATAATTTCATACAACTAAAATGTTCTTATGTTCTTGTGTAATAATAATAATAATAATAATAATAATAATAATAATAATAATAATAATAATAATAATAATAATAATAATAACAATAACAATAACAATAACAATAACAATAACAATAACAATAACAATAACAATAACAATAACAATAACAATAATCAACACGAATATTTTTGTTATTTTTTCATTTTTTCCTTTCTCAAGTATTGGCACCCCATGAATTGCAATTCAACAACAAAAAAAAAAAAAAGAGAATTACAATTCCATAAAATTGTAATTTCCTCTAACCAAACACTGTTATTGAGGCCGACCTTTATTGAATTACAATTTAATTACAACTAAATTACATCAAACCAAACGCCTTGTAAAGGTTTCAATTATTTTGCATTGGTAATTTAGTGGAATTTCAATCAGACCCATTTAAAAGCTAGTCTCCTAAAAGCGTTTAAATATGCATATTAATTTAAACTCCAGAAATCATATGCTTTAGTTGGGTTCAATATCTTAATCGGATTTCACTTTCTTTATATATATAAATTATATGTATGGGGTGAGTTTGAACTTTATAGGAATACCTAACTTTTAATGACAAAAATATATAATAAGTCACAAATTTTGTAGTCAAGCGGCATGAAGTGACTAGTTTCAGTAGGTTGAGAAGAAAAATATATGAACATATATTATCTCTAACAAGTCAATAGTATAAAAAAAAACATATAATAAATAAATTCCATTTATTATTGTTATTATTATTCTCTCTTGATTGCATCATAGAACAAATGATTTAATACTTAAAAGGTGAAACAAAAAAAAAAAAGTATCATGATTATTATGGTCAGAAATCTGGATAACCATATGTCGGTACGGACTTATACAATAAGATTGTAAAGAAATAATAAGAGCACCAAAAATTCTTAACAACAATGAAATTGGGAGTGGATAACTCCAAAATATAATCAAGAAAGCAGATAGGGTAGAAGAACAACCATTTAAGAAACAACACAACAGACAAAAAACCTCACATAGTGCTCTACATAATACCATACGCCGTAGGTTTGGTTTTTCTCTCCTGAGAAAACAGCTCAAAATGGGCAACAACCAAAAAACCTCACATAGTGCTCTACATAATACCATACGCCGTAGGTTTGGTTTTTCAAGAAGATAATAATGACACCACGTAGATTTTTCTCGCCGCTCAAAATAAGAATACGATATGGCTTAGGACTTCTCGGGTTTCTGGGGATGACATTGAATAATAAAGAAAGACTAATAACCCGAAGAGTAATTTAACCCGAACCTTATATATCTGTCTGGGTTTGCATCGATAATCAATGTGGGACGCATGTTATTTTTCGAGGAAGCCGGTCTTGGTCAAGATGGCATTTCTCAATTTGCTGAGGTCTCTTCCTTTCAGGGTCCTCCCAACACCTTCACACATGGAGAAAGATGCAATCTGAGTTCTTGCAAGCCTCCTAGCTATGTACTCATGCGGTGGGACCATCTCATTATCATCATCATCTTCTTCTTCTTCTTCACTATCCCCTTTCATGGCGGCACTTTTCCTGCAGTAAATCTTGGACCAGTCAGGAATACTCACCGGAGCCGACGACTGCTCCGCCCTGCTGCACCTCCGTTCACGGCCGCCTGTTCTCGGAGCCACAGGCAACCGCCAAGACGCCGCCGCAGAAGATTTCCTCATCATCATCACCTTTGATGGTGAGGTTTCCCTTTCAGTATTATTAGCAGCCCACACTTCTTCTTCCTGAAACTCTTCATATTCCGCTGCCAGCTTTCCTCTGTTTCTGCTCCCCAACCCATAGTAGTCTTCCATTTCAAGAATCACTTTTTAAACGTTTTGAGAAACCATATGTGTATATATAAATGGTAACCTACAAAACCAGGGAGGGAAGCTAGAAACTAGAAAGGTTGTGAAAACCCAGAAATTCGTACTGGTTTTTTTTTTATAGAAATCTGCAAAGCAAAATCACAGATTGCAAGGGCTTCCAAACAAACCTAGCTAGCTCAGCTCCCTGCAGGATCACAGGGAAGAAGACAAGCAATGGGCAGATATGGAAATAATAGTGTACTATAACTGAAACAAAAAAACAACTATAAAACTGGAAACTGAAACAGAAAGTCACAAAAGAAAATTATGGTTTTCATGACACCCTCATTCTCACTCTGTCCCATGCTCTCATCTCAATGGTGGGTGGGTCTGTTTCTTTTGTAGTTACTACAAATGTTATAAAAGAATCCAAATACCCCATAGGGGAAAAAAGGAAATGAAGAAAGAAAAAGTACAGTAGTGGTCATGCCCTAGACCCTTGTGGTACTAGGATTTTGAGACAAAGTGGAAAAGATGAAAATGGTGGTAAAACACTTAAACATGCAATAACTTTTTTTTTTTTTTTTTAAAGTTGGTATAAGCAAAAAAGATTTAGACTAAAAATCCACCTTAACGAGACTGTCGATTCAATAGCAAGGAATCTGTCCACTTTAAACTCTGTTGCCGCTGAGGTTCAAACTTTAGTCTTTTGTCCCAAATATTGTCCACTAAACCATCAAGCTAAACACAATAGAAACATTTCAAAACTGCTAACAAAATAAAACTATTAAATTTTTTTAGATTAATCAACCAATTAAGTTATATTCCAAAAATGTAATTTGGTATGGGAGATTTTCTTGAAGTGGGGATTTCTGATTTCTCTATGCATTGAAACTGTTGATATATGTGTATATGAAAGATATATATGCAAATAAAAAGAGTGGCATTTGATTGGGAAAGGTGGAGAGTAACGATTGGGCAGGCCAACTACACAGATTTTTGTAACCTTATCCTTAAAAACTCAACATAGGACAACTAAGCTTTGCATTAAACCACATAAAGTGAGTTACTTTTTTTTTTTTTTTAGTAAATGAGGATGTATGCCTAGGAGAGGGTGCTAATGGAGTAAAAGTATTTGGTTGGCTGATTTTACATTGAGATTTGACAAGTTGCAGTGGGGGAGGGTGTTTTTTAATTTGAGATTTGACATGAATGTAAGGTTAGGCTAAAAGGTGTTTACTTTGTTGTTATTAATTTGCAAGTTTTAGTATTATTGGACAAATTTTATAAAATTATTTTTTACTTTTTTTTTTATTTTTAGAAATCAAAGATAATTCGCAATCACTATTTAAATGTGTATACTAGGTGAATCTCACATTATGACTTTAACATGTAAAAATAAATCAATCTATGTTATCCATAATTGATTGACTAAAACTAAGAATGTCAATAGATCACTCTTATTTTAAAAAAAATTACTTTTAATTTCACTATTTCTTTTCAATTTATACATATTATTTTATCACATTAATGCACCTTTTTTTCTTTAGCCCCACTTGGTCATTTTAACTAAATCTTTAGTGAAAAATCATCAATGTGTGTGATATTTCTAATTTGAAATCATACACTTCTATCCCAAAAGTATTAATCACTACAGTGCAGTGTGAACCCTGGTCCATATTATAATGATTGTCTAATAAGAGCCAATAAAATTAAGTCTATAATCGAAACTAAAAAATATTTGTCCAGTTGGTTGAAATGAATGGTTCATATTATTTTGATTTTAGTATTTTTTTCTACTTTACTCTCTATTATATCATTTATTTTTCCTAAATATGCATGCATTTTGTCAGTATAAACTCTAGTAACGAATTATTCTGTTAACTATTTATTATTATTATTAACTTACTGATTGATTTTCACAAAAAAAAATGTCTTAAGTACAAATCGCATTCTAATCAGAGTTAACATGATTGTTAAACATATATACTATGGATTCTATTGTCGGCAAGCAAAATAATTTTCAGAAAATTAAATTGAGGGAGATAGCTAGATGGGGAGTAATGAGTGATGATGAGGAATAGATCCTCTATTATTGAATATTTAATGGACGTATCAAATAAAAACTTTCGCTAATCGACGGACTAATTAATTAAGATCTTGTGTTCATGCAAGATTGATCAATAGGGAGAGAGATTGGGGATGTTTTTTTTAGAAGTAAAGACTTAATGCATTAAATCAGAGTGAATACAATTATTCAGAAAATGAGGAGGATTATCAAATCACTCTTCACAATCTGATATAGAAATGACTTTTTGAGTAATTGTGTGGACAGCACAATTCGCAGATCGCTTAGCAAAACAAAACACAATTCAATACCATCTATAGTGGATGCCACTTCTTTTACATCATTAATAATAAAATTATACGAAGAATGAAAAAACTCTGAACGTAATACAAAATAAACAAGTTGCGAGTACAGTGTAGTATAAATGTATAATTGAGTGCAGCTATCAGCATACAGGAAGAGGAAGTGTGATAGATGGTCATTGGATATATATAATAACTATATATGGATACAGAAAGTGGTGGGTATTTTATGTAAGCTAGGATATGATAATGAGGGGTCTTCTCAACTCATCAAATCAAAAGACTTGGCCTTTAATTTGGCTAAGCTAGAAGGGGACCCCTCAATGGGTATGTGGGTCAACGTTTGTCACTTCCCACGTCGTCGTGTTATATTTACGATGACACAGTATGATCACTTAAATGTTTAATTAAAAAAAAAAATAGACATTTTGAATTGATAGTTAATCGTTTATAGAGTTTAATTCTTAAGTGAGTGTCTTATTCAAAACTTTTTAATATGATATATGTATATCAAAAATTTTGATTCACCTATATTACTAGTGTATTAATTAAGTATTAAAATCTTACTTATAACTTATTCGATTCCATTTTATAACTAACTCCTTTTTATTTGCTTATTTCTATTAGTATTTTTTAAATAATTTTTAAATTTAATTTGTTTTGTTTAATAGTACTATTAATGTAGTTTCTAAATATATAAATGTTACATATTAATTTTAAACTTAATATTATGAAAAGTTAAGTTGTAAATAATTTAACTTCAGTTAAACCTTGTGAATCGAACCCGACATATAAAATATGACGGAGAGATTAATTGCTTTAGTTTACTATGTTTAAAAATGATGTTTTTAAGTAATATTATATACTCACTTCTCGCTACACTTTTTTGGGTGACGAGAGAAACTTGAGGGTGTGTACGAGTCTACGGGATAAAATTCTGATTTTATGTAGTAGTCTCCAACCACACATGATAAGTAACTCCTGCTAATGCAACACATTCTAGTTGATAAAAAAAAGGTAATAAATTACATTCTTTTCATTTTTTTCTTCCAATAAAATTAGAACACGTGACAATATATAATTTATTTCATAGAAGTACATTTGTCATTTTCCTTCTTTTCTTCTTCTTCTTCTTCCTTTTTTTAGTGTTTCTATAAAAGGGTCGGAAAGAATATATTACACATATCAACATGGTAACAAATTTTTTTTGTATGACTATAGATTTGTACAGCCATTCGACTAAGATAATATATCGAGAATTTGAGACTAAGTTAATCATGTTTGTGCTGAGTAAAACCTCAATAACAACAAAACAAAACACTCCCTCATAAGCTCTACTAGTTAAGTTTGAAATATTCATGCCATTATTTCATGAATACTCTTTTTTTTTTCCTTTTTGCTTTGCTTTAATATTCCAATTATTTGATTTTAATTTTATGACATGTCTACACTGTACTTCTGTTAATGTATTAAGTATTAAATCAATAATTGATTTTAGATAGTTGCCATAGAGTCCAATCACATTGTCCTTAGATGCAACTATTTTATACTTTCCACCATTGCATTTGTTTGTTTTCTTCTGCTTTATAAATTGGCATCAAATCAAATTATTTATATCAAACTTAATCACTATTTCGGTCCATCAATTGTTTTTCAACTGTCAATGTAGTTCTTAGTTTTCAATTTTAACCAATTTAATCTTCAAATTATTTAATATTTTCTCAATTAAACTCTTCATGAACCAAAATGGTGATTTTCACTTTTTAAAAATTTTGTCAATTTAATCCCTAAAAAGGTTTAATTGACGAAATTTTAAACAATTCGATGATCAAATTGGTTGAAATTGAAAACTATGAACTACATTAACAGTTGAGAAACAATTAATGGACTAAAATGATGATTTCCCCTATATTTCAATTTCACAAATGGAATAATTTTGAAGTTCCGGTTGGATTCCGGTTCTCATTAGTACAATATTGGGTTTGATTTCAACCAAACCATGCCAACTACTCCCGCCCAAGCAAATTATATCAAAAATTATGATTTACATTGCAAAGTGAATTATTAATTACATATTATTTTTAGTATACTAATTGTTCATTTTTAAATAATAACATTAAAAATGAATATATAATATATTAAAAATAAATTTTTAGTATACTAAATTTATATTATTTCACAATTTAATAAAGAAAGTTATCATGTAATTTCATCATTTACTTTTAAAAAAAAAATTACTTTAAAAAAAAGTTTACGTATGAAGCAAAAAAATTATATGTTGGAACAAGAGACTTGAATAATGAAATTACATGTTAGCCGCTTTTTGTTAAACGTGAAATGACAAAATTTTAAATGGAGAACTAATTATGGTAAGTAAATGAATATCAATGTTATTGTAATCAGACAAAATTAAATGACTATGACTAAATGTGGTAATACTTCAATAATTGATGACTAAAAATAAATTTACTCAAATGTTAATTGCCTACTAGTTTCACAATTAAAAATAATACATTATAGCTCCTATGACATATTTTAACTAGTCAATTAACTTAAAATAAGTTCATAAGCTTTGTTTTGCTAGCAGTCACATGTTCAGTAAGTTTGAGATATATACTTTTGTGATATAATCCAGAATTGAAACTTTGGTATTTTTTTTTTAATGTGAAAGCATATTTAAGAAGTGAGTACACTTTCCTCAAAAAGTAGTTTTCATAAATGGTAACAAAACGTACAAAGTAGTGGATAAGTTGGCAGATGAATATGGTTCTCAAATCAATATAATAAGGATCATTGTCATCAGGCACTATAATTACTCGTCTGGTCCATCAAAAGTGTCACGTCATTACGTCAATGAGGTTTAAGTTTTGGACATAATTCTGCTTCATATCACATTCAAGCTGTGGCCATAAAAAATGTTACAAAAAAATCAAATAGAAAATAAAAAACTGTTACCCCGATGGATGACCAAACCAAGTCATGTCAACTGTGTTAAGATATAGGAACCATTCAAACATTATAAATTTCTATTCAATGAAAAAATATCGGTCCAACGTTTACTTCAAATTATATAAGATAATTAATATTATACTCCATATTTGTTTAGGAATAAAAAATTATCATGTTTAGTTCAAGTTATGTAATTTTCTCCGTGAATGTAATAT